ATCTTTTGTGTTTATAATAGTAACGTTGGAGATCCCTCGAGTTTAAAAACTCTTGTATATGTGGTGTAAACTTATATTATAGTGAAAATAGATATTTTACAAGTTATGAAATCCTAAACATTTGCATAAGCTACACATCCTTAGATTACTCTCATAATAGTGTTGTATCATGTATGCATGTACTAGATTAGATTAGGACCCATGTAATACACTGGTTAATCGTTAAATGTTTTTTAGGAAATTTTAGTAAGTTTTCTTGCATTTGTGCAAATATTATATTGAATTTCAATTGAACCAACTATAAATTTTATTATATATTTGGATTTGAAATCTCAATTTTTTTTTTTTGTTTGAATTGAGGTTTTCTATAAGTTTTCTACACACGCATATATATTTGATACTACATATAGTAATTTACGTAGAGATGTGTTACAAAACTGAAAAATATTAAAACATGTATTAAAATCTAATCAATTAAAGAAAATATGTCGCGATTTCGTAAATTACCATCTTTCAACATGTCATCAAGCTCTTTTGAGATTTTCCAAACTTTTTACCTTTTTTTTTTTCAATATATGAACAAAAATAGTTTTAATAGATATATGATTAATTGTTTAATATATTAAGATTATTTTTATAGGATAAGGATTATTTTTTTGAATAAATAAAAATATACCTTTTTACTTGTATATATATCTATATATTTGAGAAAATAAAAGGATAGACATATTTAAATTATAAAACTGAAATATTCCAACATGTATTAAAATCTAATCAATCAATGGAAACGTATCGCAATTTCTAAAATTCTAGATTTGCATTTTTAATTTTTTTTAGTATATAAACAAAAAAATGTCAATAGAATTAAGGTAAATAGTTTAATATATTAAGATTTTTTATAGAATAAGAAACATTTACTTCTTTTTTATATATAAAAAATATTATTTTTTTACATATACATATATTATTTTTTGTTAGGGTTATGAACCTTTTTATATATAAAAATATATTAACAAATTTAGACTCGACACAAGACGATATCCTATGTTTACTTGGTTAAATCAAACTTTATATAAATTGATCTTATCTTAATAAACTGATTATTTTTCTCTTTTGGAAAGAAATTGCTAACAAATTAATATAAAAGCCCAATGGGCCGTGTAAATAAGTAGACCCAAAGTGATTCGGTACAGTAGTGACGACCGGTTAATCTTCGCCCGCCCTATCGTCTTTGCAAAATTGTCGAAAATGGAGTGCTCAATTGGTAACACTTTCAGGTGTTCTTCTGATACGCTGCGTTTTGGTCCCCGACAACAATGCAGCCGACTAAACCCTAATCCTTCCTCTTTCCTCTCCTTTAATTCCTCCCCAATTCTCGCACAGGTATCGAGTGTATATATACATATATTCTATGTCCAAAGCACACTTTTCGAATAACGCTTTTGCATATTCAAACTGAGTTTTGGTTTTCGAAATTTCGGGATTTTTTTTATAGAATTTGGGTGCTTCTTCTTCGTCTGTTTCCCGGCGGACTATTCGAGTTAGAGCAAAAATGGCGGCGTCAGAGGGTTCGATTAATGGAAGCAATAGGATGCTGGTAAAAACGATTTCAAATTTTTGATTTTTTTGGTGTTTTATCTGTTGATTTGAAAGTGAAAGATGTGAATTTGATTCTGGTTTCAGGTGTTTGTGCCACCACATCCTTTGATCAAACACTGGATCTCTGTTCTCAGAAATGACCAAACACCTTGTCCTATTTTCAGTGAGTGGATAAGATTTTTATGAGTATTTCTGCGATATTAACCACTGTTTGTTGTTAAAGAACTGAATTTTACATCCATTTCTTGGTTTTTTTTTATTCGTTGGATCCTGATTAGTATCTGTAGTGGACAATCTTTAGCTCTTAGATTGGTGTCATCTGCTAAATTGCGTTTGAATATGAGTTTTGATTTGCTACTACTATAAGTCTGTGTTGGTCTTTGAATCGTGAGTTTTTTTATAATTATCTTAGGGAATGCAATAGCTGAACTAGGGAGACTACTCATGTATGAAGCAGCACGAGAGTGGCTGGTGAGTGACGACGTTTAGACACATCTGTATTATTCTTGAATTCGTTCTCTAAGGTTTTCGCTTATGTTTTGATTTTTGTATATTTGGGGTCAAGCCAACTGTTGTGGGAGAAATTATGTCTCCAATGGGTCCTGCTTCTGTTGAATTCATTGATCCCAGAGAGCCTATAGCGGTTTGTTTATCCCTCAAAACTCTTCTTGTCTATGTTTTCTTCTCGACCTAACATGTAAACATTTCTTATTCTTGGTTTTGTCTCTGTGTAGGTTGTTCCGATATTAAGAGCTGGTCTTGCTCTTGCGGAACATGCATCCTCAGTTTTACCTGCGAATAAAATTTATCATTTAGGTTAGTAATCTCAACTATATATCATCTCTTGCCTGAACTTAGGATGTCACAAAATGAAGACTTTTATCAAATAGCTTATGATGTCCCCTTGCTTATTTTCTTTACCAGGAGTAAGTAGGGATGAGAAAACACTTCTGCCGTCGGTGTATCTTAACAAGTAAGAACTTCTCTGCAGCATTGTGTAGTTACTGAAGTGTTTACAATAACAGCTTTGATACATCTTCTTTAGGTTGCCTGATGAATTTCCCAAGAATTCAAGAGTATTTTTGGTTGACCCAGTGCTTGCCACAGGTAAAGAAGTCTTGTCAATTCTTGTAATGTAGCAAGTTTTAATCATTTTAGCCACCTCTAGTAATTAGGGTTTGATGTTGTTCAAATGTACACGATAATATGGGAATGTGAATGCATGACATGGTAGTACCGAATGTTTCATAGCTAGAAGCGTAGGTTTAGTAACTTGGTTTTTTCATAATTCAAAACACTGGTTTATTTGTATTTTAGGTGGTACCATAATGGCGGCCATGGATCTATTGAAGGAACGTGGTTTGTCTGTTCAGCAAATCAAAGTGGTAAGCATATATATAGGAAGCAGCTTTTGTCAGAAATCTTGGTTACGGAATATCTTTAGTTAAGTGTTTTGATTTTTCCGGTATCTCCCTGATTACAGATTTGTGCAATTGCTGCACCTCCTGCACTATCGAAGCTTAATGAGAAATTCCCCGGGTAATCAATAGCAAAAGACCAACTCTCAACTCGCTTGACATATTTAGTTAACTCTTTTACTAAACTGCTTGGTTACTATTTGCAACATTTCAGGCTACATGTATATGCTGGAATTATTGATCCTGAAGTCAATGAAAAGGGGTAAGTCATTAGGTTCTTTGGCTTTCGATATGAAAATGGCGATTATATTATAATGTCCTTATGTATTTGTCATAATAGGTACATAATCCCTGGGCTTGGAGACGCTGGTGACCGCAGTTTCGGGACAGATACACATTGGGAGAAGTGATTCTTGTATGACTTGTTGAACTTTACAGTGACAATCGTTAGATTATATCATCTCTTACTTTGTTTTTGATGTGTGATGTCGGGTTATTGAGAGGGTTTTGATAAAAGAGTCAAAGTTCACAAACAAGAAGAATCTGAATTCCTCAATATAATGAAACAGAGAACAGATTTGTAAACACCATTTCTCTTCGGTAGTATCTCGCGATTTATGTGTATCATTCTCAACTATCTACAAAAGCAGTTTTTGAAAAAGAAAATCAAGTATCTGAACCAGTTCCAAGTAATTTTCAAATTGAATGAACAAAATACCCAAACTGAACCAGTCTTCTGTTTTGGTTTAGATCGTCAAACCAATTCGAATTGAGAACTTTCGTAGTTCGGTTCGATTTAAATATGAAAACCGCCCTAATTGGATCGGTTTTTATCGCTCTTCATTTCAAAAGTTGAAGGGTATAGTAGTCATTCCCCGAAATAAGCAAACCCTAAGAGCTCGCTACTATAAATATAGTAAACTGATTATTTTTTCTCTTCTTCGTCGCCGCCAAACTGCTCTCTCAGATTCTTCTTCCTCGCAGGTGAGAATTTCTCCTTAGACTCTTATAATCTCCTTTCTCTGTATTGCTTATAAACGCATCAGAATGATCTAGGTTTCGATTTCAGAATTGGTATTCTCGTTTTGCCTTTTGTGTAGAGATTATCGTTGAATGTGATCAATTATTCTTGATGAATCTCTTATTTTGGTGTTGTATTGCTCATCTGATTAGTTTTTTTTTTTGTGTGTTTAATTACTCAGATCGTTTTTTGTTCAAGCTAAATCTCAAAATGGAGAACGAAGAAGGGAAGATCACAGAGCTCTACATTCCGAGAAAATGGTATTTCAGCTATTTTCTTGTTGTCTGTGTAATGGTTGATTGGTATCTTGAGGTAATTGTCTTTAATTAAGTTAGTGTAAGCTGATTCTTTTGTTGTGTAATGGTAATTGGTTCAGCTCGGCAACAAACAGATTGATCACATCAAAGGATCATGCTTCAGTTCAGCTTAACATTGGTCATCTTGATGCTAATGGTGTCTACACTGGCCAATTCACCACCTTTGCTCTCTGCGGATTTGTCCGTGCTCAGGTTTGTGAATTTCATCTCCACAATTGTTTTCACAAAGTTCATGATTGTATATGTATATTGACATTTTGATTGAATCTGCAGGGAGACGCAGACAGTGGCGTGGACAGGCTCTGGCAGAAGAAGAAGGTCGAAGCCAAACAACAGTGAGAGACAATGTCATAAGGCTCTACCACCTCTTGTTTGTTTTTTGAGGTTTTCATTTTATTAGCAATGTGACTTCGTTATTGAATTGAATGTTACTTTCTCTACTTGCGAATTCATGTTTTGGATTTTTCTGCTTTATGAAAGATTATTATTAGTCTTTGTGAGGCCAATGGAATCAGATTTCTATCTAATAGTCTATTAATTTTAAGTTTCACAAATTACTGTTAGACTGTCATCAACCACTCGGCTTAGTGGTTTGCGGGTTTAAGCTTAAGAAACTGTTAACATGTATGCGAATTCTTCTTATTATTGAAAATTGAAACGAATTACACATTATTTCCTGTAAACAAGCAAAGTGGAACATAGTTTTCTCATCTTCAAACGAAAATGGTTAAACTTTAGAATTCAACAAAAGACGCTTATGATTCATATCTCACCATCCCAAAGCTCTTCAAGTGTCTTATAAGGACTCAATGTCTCATGAACAAACGATGTGCCTTGGACTAACCTAACCTGCAGAGTGGAGAGATTGAAATAAATGATGTTTTAGACTTCTCATAGATGCGGAATTTGCCGAAATGTGGTCTATGGTTACTTGCCTGTTCTATCTTGGAAAACTTGTCAAACATTTCTTCTGAGATTGACCATCCCAATACATCGAAATTCTCTCTGATTCTATTTTCATTTGTGCTTTTGGGAAGTATACTATGACCCATTTGAAGTCCCCATCGAAGAGCGGTTTGTGCGGGGGACTTCCCGAGTTCTTTAGCAACCGTTTCAATAACCGGACTCTTTAGAACATCGGCCTTCACCCACGTTGTTCCAGGAGAACCCAATGGCGAATATCCCTGCCTCAATCAAAATTCACAAGTGTGTATAAACAAGAAATTCTGATTCCTGTTATGATTGGGACATGTTTGGTGTTTTTCAAACTTACTGACAGGTGTATCCCTTTGGACTTGCAGAACTCATGTAGCTTATGTTGTTGCCATGAAGGATGACATTCCACCTGGTTTACAGTGGGAGGAACACGAGCAGCCTCCACGAGATCTGAGAGTTTCTTTGTAGAGAAATTACTTACGCCAATGGCTCGTGCCTTGCCAGAATCATACAGTGCTTCCATTGCTTTCCATGTGCTAGGAATATCGATAGGCATAATGTTCTCAGGCTTAAAGTCAACAGCGCCTTTCTTCAACCGAACAGGCCAGTGCATCTCAAGAATAGATCAAATAAAACCAATTGAATTATAAGCAAGCATAATTAGATTCCCAAATCCAGAGATCCAAATGGAACAAAGGAACACATCTTGAAAACTGTTAGAATAAAAAAAGTAGCAGTTGTTTAAAAGAGTCATGCTTACGAGATACAGATCGACGTAATCAAGCTGCAGATCCTGTAGAGTTCTATTCAATGCCTCTTGCACATCTGGAGGATCAAGATCAGTCAACCTGTCATGGCATAATTTGTAGGTTATAAAAGTTTAGAGGCTAAGCAGATGCTAGGGGAACTGAAAATGCGTAAGAAACATAAAGATAACAGTAACGTTATGAACAAAATACCAGATTTTTGATGTGATGAACAGCTTCTCACGCTTCACTACGCCATCATCAAACAACTTCTTCAGAACTTTCCCAATCTGCAGGTTAAAAAAAGTTTTCAATTTCTTCATCAAAGAAAAACAAAAAACCACATTTCAAATGAACTTGTAAACAGTTTATAACAAATAACTCCATCAATCCTACATAATTGAAAGCTAGTTGAAGGAAAAGATACCAAGACAATGTGTGCCATTGTCATTCCCAAGAAAAAAAAAAAACTGGTGAACCTTAGTAAGAATTACATACAACAGCCAATCCAATAAGAACGATCATACTATATACTGTTCTACCAATGCACATCAAGTCACTAGCCGCCAAAAAAAAACGTATGTGAACAACAACAAAGGGATAATTCAAAATGTGTGCAAACATGAGTGATTACAAGATTCAGATCCCGTGTAACTCAAGTAGTCAAGAAGAAAATGGAACCTCGCCAGAGATGCAAGGTTTAGAGCCTTAGAGGCACATACTATGGAAGATACAGAATTCTGATCGGTGATTTTTACCTCAATTTCATTGCCATATCTTGAAGCACAATCAATATGCTGATATCCAATCTGCAGAGTGAAATGATAAAAATCAATCCCTAAATCACAACTCACAAGATCAACCAACACTGATGGAAAACCAAAATTATGTAACGATCTGATTATCTAACCAAAGACCTCTAAGGATTAGTCAAATGAGAAACCATGAGACGGAAAATCACAGACGAACCTTCACAGCGGCGGCGACAGCGTCTCCAACGACGCCAGGAGCAGCTTGCCATGTCCCGAGACCGACGGATGGGATCTTTGCTCCGGTGTTGAGTTGGAAGAATCCGATTTCGTCCGCCATTGTCAGAGCTTTTATGAGTTCGACTTAGATCTGGTGAACCTTTTACGAAATGGCGGAGGAAGAAGTGTCGACGGAGCGGGAAAATCGTCGGACTCTTATAACAACAGACGGCTAGATTTCAAACACGTGGATAAATCCAAACGCCAATGCTTGTATTTTCATTTTTCAGTGATGAGAGTAACTACGAATTTACGATTTACATAATTCAATAGATTTATCAAACTTGGACAAAATTATCATGTAGTATATTGAATAAATTCGTTTAAATTTGCAAAAGAGAGTATGATTTTTTTTTTTTTTTTTGGCTCAACATCAACTTATCATTAACCAACTTGAGGATTACAATTCTTTCAACCTCAACTCGTTTGACCCAAATGCAATAGTACCACCCTGGAACACATAGATGGATCCAACGCTACCCGACGCGAGTCATTGCATTGTTACAACCACTGCAAGATGAAAACACCCCGCTATTCGGAGTGAAAACATCTCTTAGACCACCTAAATTAACCACTATGACACGAAAACAACTACTAATTCAGAGAAAACCAAATCTTAACCTGAATTACAAATCGATTCGAAGCTATGAGACTCTTATGATTAGCGTGTAGACCGTATCCCGATAGCGTCCACACCCAAAGGCGCATCATCAGAAAACTTGGGATCTCCGGCTTTTGTTGTTCCGGTCTTAAACCAAAAGCGGACACTAAATCCGAATGAACCGACTAAAGATACGAGGCAAAACCGGCATGACTCGAGCATTCTCCAAACTAACCAGTCAATAGCAGGATACTAATCGATTAAAGATAACTCAGTGGATCCCGGATTAGTACGACCTCACCTTCACGGTGCATTGCCGGAACAATCTCGCCGCAGGTGCCTTGATGCCTCGCTCCATCGACGGACTAGACCAGACTTGAGGGGGCTCACTCGATCTCCGGCTTGAGGACAGCCTCATCTCGGCCACCGTCGACCACATCACCTCCCAAGCGCCTGGAAGACTCTGACTCCGACTCGACCATGGATCTCTGATCGGCTAGAATCTCCAAGGAGGGAGCGGAAAGACCGGAGCGCTGCTCAGAGCAGCTCCGCACTCCCACCAGGCTCCCGGAAAAGGATCGAGCCGAGATCTCTCTCCTGCAGCTACTGCCTCCGCGTCATCTTCACCTTCGATTGAGCTACTCCTTAGCCTTCCGAAGAAACCGGTGCCGAGTCAATCTAGACATACACTACAAGACAAGAAGACGAAAAGGAAGAAAGGGGGCCTCTCTCACCGCCGGCGGAAGCCCCGGGCGGCGGAGAGGCGGCGGCGGCGGCTCAGATCTAGGGTTTGCTCTCTCGGGGACTCTCGCTATGATTTATGAAACTAAAAAGGGCTATTTCAAGTTTTCAACATTGGAAACTTGAGATAATTTTCGAATAAGAACAGAGGAAACGTGTCTGATTCGAAGATACGAGAAGCTATAATCTGTCAAAAGAGGAAGAACAGTTGAAAACATAGACTAGTACAAGGATTTTTCTAGGCGACTGGGATCATCGCTGGGTAATCTACGGCTGTAAGTGGAGCTTCCGCTATGAGAGCAGCCGGGGCAGCAACCTGAGCAGGTGCAACGTAAGTCTCTTCTTCCTTAGGAGAATGAATGATCACAACATCAGGCAATGGTGTCATTGGTCCTAATTTGCCCTTAGGATCCCAATCAAGCATAACCTTAACCTTGATTCCCAACACACCCTACACATTCGATTTACCAAGACTTAGCTTAGTCATCGTTGATTTACTAACTAGTAATAAGAAACAACTCAGGAAGAAAAACTCACCTGTCTAAGCAAAACATGTCTCACTGCAGAGTCAATGTATTCCTTAGTTGGTTGACCAGATGACACCATGTAACCATCCTTGAACTTCATAGACTTGGCTCTTGCTGCACGGAGCTTTCCACTCACAATGACCTCGCATCCCTTAGCTCCACTCTCCATAACAAACCTCAATACACCATAGCAAGCCCTGTACAACATAAAACCATTGCATGAGAACTACACTAAGGACCTAGACAAGACCTAGTTGAACCCCTAAGTATGAACAACAGCGTTTCCAGTAGATAGAGAGACATTTCAATTCCCCAATACCATAAAAAAAATGTGCGAGTGACTATCTGAACAATTACTATATACTAAACATATAACTATTAGATCAAACAACCAAGAGAAATGTCGTACCTACGAACAGCGAGACCACCTAGAAGCTTGTATCGTAGAGATTCAGCTTGAGCAATGGCACAGAGACCTCTGTTGTTGACCTTCTCGGCATAAAGCTCAACACTGTCTACTGGAAACTTGAATCTCTTCTGGACAAGGGATGTCAATTCCCTAATTCTCCTTCCCTTCTCACCTGAAGACACAAATCAAATTTTACAGACCCAGAATCGTATAATAGAAGAAATGATTGGGCTCGAAGATCAACAACATACCGAGAACATTCTGAGTACGTGTAGCTCTGATGATAATCTCAGTCCTCATTGGAGTTACCCTAACCTCCACACCAGAGTAACCATCCTCTGCTAGCTCTCTTGTAAGAACCTCATTCAATTCAGCGTAGAACACACCGTCTGCTACAAACTACAAAATCAAAATCTCAATAGAGTTACCTAAACATTTCAAATACGATGCGGCGAGAGAGAGAACAAAATGAACAAATCACACAATTCACCTTTCTCTTCTTGCTGATCTGAGTCGTCATGTTTGTGAATGTGAAAATCTGCCGATCTCTGAAACCCTAAAAATGCGCGGCGTAATCTCTTCTCGAGAGGGATGATATTAGTATTTATATTTGACCTAATTCAGAAAATCAGGTTTCACATCCTATTTACTTTGGGCCTATTTGTCGAATAGTTTGGCCCATATACTAATAAAATAGGTAAACCATTGGTTTGGGCCAATGGATGTTTTCAAATTTTACTTCTTTTTTTTTTTTTTTTTTGTCTAAATCAAATTTTAGTTTCAAGTAATTGAAAGTAAAAAAACATCTCTGATTTTGAATCATCTCTGTCATTTTCCGGCGACAATGGCGTCAGCTCCCAAGAACATTGAGCAAAACCCTTTCTCCTTAAAACCCCCAAGGCCTCCGTCTTCCTCCGGCGCTGTATCTTCAACCTTCGTTGCTTCCACTTCAGTAGAACCCCAAATTAGGAACCCTAACCCTAGCACAAACGCCTTACCATCGACCTCGAATTCACCAATTACGATGTCACAAGAAGATGAATTACTCGCACGCTCCAGTCACCTCACACCCCCAGAGCTCTTACGACGCCGAGCACACAATCTTAAGCAGCTCGCCAAGTGCTATAAAAACCATTATTGGGCTTTAATGGAGGATCTCAAGACGCAACACAGGGATTATTGGTGCAAGTATGGGATTAGTCAGTTCAAAGACCAACAGAATCAATCGAATAAGAGACGGAGGCTTGGTCCAGAAGGAGAAATCGGAGCCGTTGAAGGTAGTGGAGATAAGGCTAATGATGGTGGTAATGGTGATGTGTATGCAAACAACAATGGGAGCTGTATGTATGGATGCAAAGCTAAAGCCATGGCGCTTACCAAATACTGTCAATTGCATATTCTCAAAGATAGTAAGCAGAAGCTCTACACTGGTTGCACAAACGTCATCAACAGGTTTGTTTCAACCAAAATCTGATAGGTGCTTCAAGTTGTGTTCTTTTACATATTATAGTTGGGTTAAGATGTTGTAGTGATGATGAATTGAAACTGCAACACAATGTTTGTGTTATTCAATGAGCCAAGAAATAGTTTCTTTCTTTTTTTGAGGTTGCTGAAAGGTTTTGGGATTGAGACTTTGCTCTGTTTCGAGGTTTTCCATAGGGATTGGGAGAAATTTTTAGCTTTAGACACCGATGATCACTATCCTCGATAACCATTTATAGATTCGGTACTTGGCTTGTTTCATAACCTTGATTGATGTGCTGCGTTATTCCCGTTGATATACATAACTGACAAAGATGTTTCTATTGACGTATCTTTGCAAACGAGGTAGGATTATGAGTAGCATAATTATGTCATCTTTGAAACTTAGTTCCAACTGAACATTGGGATGAGACTCTTTGAAAATGTAAGTGAGTTGGAATAAAACTTTAACCAGGTTCCGATTGATACACTGGATTCGGTTTGTTACAATCCAGATCTCATATTTATGCAATTTTGCATGCTGGTTTGTAATTAGAACATGATGGTTATTTAAGCAGTTCTCTCCTAAATCTGCATTTGTTTGCATTGTACATTCAGATCTCCAGCAGGACCATTACTTTGTGGAAAACCAACACTTGCATCGACTGTTCCTGTACTGTGTAATGTGCACTACCAGAGAGCACAAAAGAATGTTGCCAAAGCTTTAAAAGATGCTGGTCACAATGTCTCTTCAACAAGCAAGCCTCCCCCAAAGCTCCATGCTTTAGTAGCTGCATTTGTGCATCACATTCAAGCACAGAGAAAAAAGGCACACAAGGATGGTAAACTTAAAAGCGTAGTAAAAGAAGAAATGACAAGCTGAGTCAAGCCGCGTTCCCACAAGTAATTTATTGGATCAAGTCGTACAGAAGTGAAAAGGTGAGGACCTTGGCTTGGCTTACCATATCTTCTACAGATTCATCTCTTTCAGTTCTTGTGAGTAGATTTGACAAGCGACGGGTTTTGTTACAGTGTTGGTATCGGATCTTTATCAGCACTGAGCTATTAAGAACAGGTTTTTCGGTACAGTGTAGGGTATAGTCTTAGAGCTTAAGATAGGTCTAATTACAGTGGTAGTTACTGAGATGAAGATTCCACTGTTTCTGAAGACTTGATAAGACCTGTGTTGGAACTCAATTTAACTGTGTTTTGTTGCAATTTTGATCAATTAGTCGAGTTAATTCGAAAACTTATGTAATAGTCTAATGGCGAATGAGAGACCGACAAAAAGCCATTTCCATTAATTGTATTATTCGAAAGTTTGGGTGGTCAAATACCCATTTTGACCAATATAAGTATATAACATAGTTTTAAATAATACTATACACATTTTCAAAACTCAATAATACTCAGATATTACTGAAGTAACAAATAAATTTGCAAAAACAAAATTCTCACATTCCATATTTTAAGGCGAAAATATTTATTTGTCCTGCCACGTAGGACACTTATCTCACTTATCTCAGTCCACTAAAAGCAAGCAAGAAAAAAATGTCAAAGGAGAAAGAACGAAGAAGCTTAGCTTATGATCGAAGCTTAGCCGTTTCGGGAAATTCTATTTGTAGGTGACAAAATCTTCTTCTAGGTTCCTTCTCAGCTATGAATTTCCTCTGCATTTTCTTTTTTTCCCCGCCAAAATTTCTCCTGAAGCAAATGTAGCTTTTACTTACTAAACTAGGGTTTCTTCGATTTTGTTCCTCTTTCCTCGCTGATTTTGTCGGAATTTCTGGGTTTGGTAAAAGAAATTGCCAAATTGGAGCCATTGTTGATTCAAATGAAGAAGCTTTTCGGAGGTCCGGGAACTGTGTGTGGTCTGTTACTGAGAATCGGACAATGTGCTTCAGCTGCGGCTTCTATCGGCGTTATGGTCTCCGCGAAGGAGTTCTCTGTTCACACTGCTTTTTGGTACGGTTTCGCTTTCTTAAAGTGTTGATTTGTTTCCTTTAACCTTGTTTTGCTCGCTTAGATGTCGGATTTGGCGGATTTAGTAGAAATGATAATGGAAATTTCTGCAAGCAATTTTGGTGTATATGTGGAAGTCTCGTTGATGTTGTTTTTGATTTTGGGTTTGGTTTCAGCTATTTGATTGCATCAATGGGTCTTCAATTGTTGTGGAGCTTTGGGCTAGCTTGTCTTGATGTTTATGCTCTCAGGGGCAAGAAAGATCTCCAAAACCCTATCTTGGTTAGCTTATTCGTCGTTGGTGATTGGGTAAGCACACCACATCTTTATGGTTTTGTTACACTAAATTCATTGTTCTTGATATCATCTTTGAAGGATTGAGTTGTTTTTCTTGTTTTGCAGGTGACTGCAATGTTATCTCTTGCAGCTGCATGTTCATCAGCAGGAGTTGTTGTCTTGTATGAAAAAGATATCAAGTATTGCAATACTCAAAGCCAATATCCATGTCTTAGGTATGAAGTAGCTGTAGCGCTTTCTTTCGTCACTTGGATCCAGATCGCTGTTTCTTCTCATGTCACATTTTGGATCTTAGCCTCGGTTTAGTTTCGAAAAGAAACCCAACTTTTTCTTCTTCTTGGAATGTTGAGACATCTTTGTAGCTTTGAGGACATAAACAATCTGCTTCAAGTCGAATCCACCAATGTTTCTTGAAATCAAAGCTATTGCTAAACATAAACATTTCTCTCTTAATCACCACACCTTACTTAGAAGACTAATCAACATGATATATATGCATTGAGCACAAGGAAAACAAAGTTACTACATACTTTGGTCTGAGTGATTGATGCTTAGTTTATTTCGTAGCAAACCGTTTTATTCTTTGTTCCGCAATTTTCCCACGTTACACAATACAAACTACAAAGTCAAAGCTCTCTCCCTAAGAAAAAAACATGAAGACGGGGAAAGATTGAAGAAGAAAATACATACACAGCAAAAAGCCTGTCTGTATGTATGTACAGCGTCAAACCTAGAGGCAATCTCTTTCATAAGGCTAAAAAAACCCAGAAATGTCTATCGAGGATTTGGTGATTGGTTGGGAAAACTCAAGTAGGTATATCTGCTAGTAGTAATGTATGCCACCATCCACACGCCACTTTTCTCAGTCTGCAGCCATCGAGCTGGACTTGTGTAGGAATGCTCCGGTCATTCGTGTCCCCTAGACCCAGCTGTTGAATAACAAGAGGGATACAAAAAGGAAATGCTATTTGTACAAATACAGTGATAATGAGACATAACTTCTTAGCAAACCAAAACAGGAACAACATCGTACCTGTCCATATTTGTTCCATCCCCAGCATAGCAACTGACCATCTTCTGCAGAAACAAAAATTGCAGTGTTAATCAGCAAAACAGATAATACATTCTGTACTGCCTTCACTGATTACAATGAACTAAACTTAAAAGGAGCATCAACATCAGGCACATATCATAGAACGCAAAGTGTTTCACGAACATGTTGCGTGTTTTAAGAAGGAGCTAATTTTTTCTCCCTTGAAAGAGAGACCACGTATTAAAACTGAAAACAATGCAAAAGGAGACCTGAAGACAGGTTGCAGCATCTCACAAGCTAGGGCTCTTTAGTTTCTTCTCGTTAAAACAACTGAAATCAAATGCTAGGGCTCAGTTCGATTTGGGGAGGCCCCTTTCTGCCATCAACATTTGAAATAACATACCTGCCAAAACCGCACTATGCCGCGCGCCACAACTAACTGCTTTCGCATATTTGCCCTCCAAATTCTGGCCACCCAGCAACCTCGGTAATATCTAAAACAGAAGAGGGAAGGTAAAATACTTGAGAATACCAGATGTTTCGAGTCATGAATGGCACAAAATTTCCAGAAACTTTTTATTATGAGAGATGTTACCTCAGCATGATCAGTGCCAGTTCCCAGTTGCCCAAATTGGTTTCCACCAAAGGCATACACTTTACCATCACTAGAGATGCAAATAGTGTGCCACAATCCAGCTGCTACGCTTTCCATCCGAACACTCTTCATTGATGACACAGCCATGGGCCTTAACTGGTCATTTGTGTTTCCGTGGCCACACTAAATGCCAAGAAAATTGGCGTGTTAGCATGAGCACATAGAGAGGCTAAACAGCATGCACTTTCTCAGTCAGTCGGATAATCAGTCAAAGATTGCTAAGCTGTAAAACATTCACCTGTCCATAGAGCCCCCAGCCAAAAGTTATTAACCCTCCAGCATCTGTAACTAGGAAGGACGTGCAATCAATATCAAGCCATTACAAAGTTTTCTACATTTTAGAAATACATATACTGCAACGAAACCTTTTTTCTTTCATGGAAATACAGAGGAATAAGTCAGAAGAGATATAGACCTGTAATTGCCGCGCTATGACGACCTCCACAAGAAATGGCCTTGATGTACCGACCAGGTTCTCTTGAAACTTGAGTAGACGTGGTTGTTGTTCCTCCTTGATGTAATATGAAAGATCTTTCTTTCCCAGATCCAATTGATTCAAGGCAAGGTATTAGATGAGGAGACGACACCATTTTAATCCGGGAACCCAATCCTAGTTGACCTTCGCCTCCATATCCCCAACCCCAAATCTGTCCTATATCTGAAACTTCCGCAAAAACATGATCATCCTCAAATGAATCTTCAACTACAAGGTAGCAGCTTCATCTCGGATTTGTAAAGAAGTCGTTTATTCAATTTCACCTGACAATGCCAGAGTATGTCGGCCACCAGTAGCAACACTGGTGATCCTCACTCCAAGGCCAACACTCACAAGTGAAGGTGCTGTAGCAAAGAAGTCGCCTCCAGATGTATGGCCTTCGGTTTCATCTTTGGCAGTTGAAACCCGTCTCCGCTTCACTGAATCCTCCCCTACCTTTCGGGTCTCATTCTGTAGTGTCATACCACTAGCTGCATTTGAACCTTGTGATGGTTGACTCACTATCACAATTGAAAACATACCATATCATCCATCAACAATAAACAAAATAACAGCAGTAAAACTGAAGAAAACCCAACCGATCTCACCTTGCTCACTCGAGCCACTCTGCTGCTTTCCAACAGGATCCTTTGATGGAATGCACTCCTTCCAACCCCAAGTAAATGCTTCACCAGCCTCTGTACACACCAACACAAAGGTCATGAACAAAAAAGACAGTTACAAGCATCATTACTCCATTTCATGTTTCAAGTCATAGACCAGTGTAATGCAATAGAATTCAAAGTAGAGAAGTAACACTTACCTGTTACAACAGCACAATGTGCCCATCCTGAAGAAGCCTGAACGACTGGAGCCTCCGTGGGAAGAGGGAACAGCTCTGGAGTTTCCTTCACCAATCGTATCCAAGGAAAGACAATAAATCGAATCAATTTCGTAACAAAAAAAAAGGATAGAAGAAGAGACAAGATTCCATCATCTTAAAGAACTATACCCCATGCTTTCCAGAAGCCACATAGCTCTGTCCTTCATCATCAGTAGAACCCCAAGTTATAAGCTTGCCCTTCTCTAAAACCCACCAACATACAAAATTAGTAAATCCCAAAAAAAAAAACACAACTTTTGTAAATCCAACAACCCCAAAGTTATGATATTTTGTTGGTCACGAATAAGTTTCGAAATTCACAAAATCCTACCTGAAATAGCCATAGCGAATCCACAACCGCCGCCACATACATCTTTCCACGAATCTCCTCCGTGGACAGCCGCCGGTAACCGTACGGGAACAGGAGAGAGAATTGGGGATTTCTCCGGCGCAGCACCTGGTAAGTAACCGGACATGTAAACTACAGTCGCTTTACATTCCCCAATCGGAACCTTTCCTCCGATATTTCCATTCATGGCAACGATTCTTCCAAATCCAAAATCACCATAAAACACAAACACAAAATCCAAAAACAATATAGTGATTTGCGTTTATTTACCAAAAAAAATATAGTGATTTGCGTTTCACTTTCACGGCAAATTCGCGTTTTTTGAGATGAGTAACAGAGAAAATCTTGAAACGGAGAGAAACAAAAGAGAACGAGTTGACTCACTGAGAGAGAGAGAGAGAGAATCAATTACGGGGATTTAGGTTGTGCCACGTCGGATGCCACGTCATATTAATAACACGTGGCATAATCTAGACCGCGTTTTAATTTTATTTGTAAAATAAAAAATGTGGAGAAGTTTCTGGAAGCAAAAGACCGACCTCAAAATTTGAAGCTCACTTTTCTCCACTGATGGACGCGTGGTTCCTAAAATTCGTTTATTTTAAATTCTTGCGCTATCAGCTTTCCATTATTAACTAATTTGATTTTATTTGTTCAATATATATATAATTGACTTCGACACATTGGACACCACGTCTATGTTCTCTTTTTGTTCTAAAACTTAGTATTTCCTCCGTTTCGTTTTAGTTGTCGTTTAAGGTTTTTTCACACAAATTAAGAAAATCATTAAATTTTCTGTTTTATCCTTTATTAATATATTTTATAAAAAATTTCATTAGCCACAACATTAAAACAATAGGGATAATATTGTAACTTTTACCAAACATTTGCATTGAAAACCTAAAACGACAACTAAAACGAAACAAAATTTAAGTCCTAAAACGACAACTAAAACGAAACGGAGGGAGTATATTAAACCGGATTATCATTTGTCGGTTAGTCATTATCTAGGCTTTTGCTGCAATTGAAAACCAAATTTGAAGACCGTACATCCAAATGACCCAAATTTTGAAAGCTCTCTTAATGTGAAGTGTGTGGATTTTGGAGAACAAAGTTCCTTTTTGGTATTTTGAGCTATTTTTTATTTTTAATTTTTGTAATAGTAGTGATCAAAAATACACACTAGGCAGGTGTTTCTTCAATTGCCAAGACCATGTCATCATACATATCACAATTCAAATTATATAAAAGAATGTTTGTTTTCTCGTAAATGAATTTCTTTTTTTTGTGTATTTTGAAATCGAGTGTAGTTTTTTCGAAAACAAATGCTGAACTGTTCCAGAAAATGTCACTTTTTTTAGCTTCTCGATTTATTATAAGTAACTAATCAATATGGCAATAATGTCTTGCCTTCGTTTTTCGTTGACAACATGTCCTAATTGGCTCCTTACTTTATTTTTTGAAACATTCGGATTTATAATTCTGTTATCATTATCACTACAAAGAGTATTACTTTTGTTTCATATATGCTAATTAATACGTCGTATTCATGTTTCATAAGATCCACAATAAAAATATGATGAAACCCCAATTAGCATTTCCGCATATTTTGTAAATAAACAATTATTGGTCACAAATTAATGATTACAAGCACATCATAATCAGTAACCATTCCATTATGTACGTATATAAATGTTAATGTTTGTGTAATATTAACAAACCAATATCTAGTCAAACGAAATTATTTACATAATTAACATACTTGGCGATTATTCACATAGTTACGTACTTGTACTTGTTGATTTCCTGTAAGGATCTAATCCCAGACGGAGCTCAAGATCTATCACTTCTGCACTTTGAGATAAAGCGTTTTGAAGTATCCTCATTTTCTTCTCTTCTTCATCTCCTGAACAGTTTTTGCTTCTATCATCTTCTTCTTTTCTCCTTGGACCGACCGTATCAACGAAGAAAGGTAACTCAATAAGCTCTTGCTCGAACCGATTTCTCGAAGTGGTGCAAATGGCTTCTTCACTATCTTCTTCTTTTAGGTTCGCTTGTCGAAGTTTTGCCCTGTCTTTTCTGTGGATGTTCATGTGCCCTCCTAAAGCTTGTGCGTTGGAAAAACCTCTCTCGCAAAATTCGCATATGTATGGTCTTGCTTGCGATCCGGACCATGAATATGATCGACGATCCAAGTATTTTCTATTCATTTGTATATATGATATCGAGAGAGAATATAAACAAGAAAGTGTTTTTGATTTGAGAAGAGATGTAAAATTGATAAATAACAAGGTGATGGTTATTATATGAGCAAGATTTTTAATATACTGATAAAGTCTTTATTAAATTTAAAGTCAAAGTCGACTTTTTCTAGCCGACAAAAGTATATAGATAAGTTAAGTGCTTATTGTCTTGCGATTTGGTGTAATGGTGTTGATTTTGTTTTTAATTGGTTTTGGCGTTTACATTTTAACTTTTTATATAGCCGACAATGTAGATATCTATGCAAATTTTTCTTATAAAAACACAAAGTTTATGAATTTATCAATAAAATGTTAGAAATTAGAATACATGAAAATACAAATGTAAGTAAATGAGCGATCTCTAAATAAACAATGTATTCCGGAAAACACATCTTATACACGTATTATAAGCGAGCTGGGACGACGTATATATGTTTTACAGTTTTATTTAATCAATGTCATTAGAAAATATCATTACACAACTATATATTTATTGACTTAGCTTACTCGTTAGATTTTCATCCAGTTAGAGAAATGTACTTATAAGTCGGTATCATAGATCTCGTGTACGCTATATTTAATTGTACTTACTAATGTCAAATGTTAACCAATATTTTATAAGCAAACATCTTAGATTAAGCTCATTCTTAATTTATAGTGTAGGAATTTCAGCTACGAATGTAGTTCACAATTCTTTCTTTATGACTTTCGGTTTTGATATTAAATCTATATATGAAGATTTTAAACCATTTTAGATAATATATCAAATCTTTAGGGCGGGGTCAATGCAATAAATTATATAGGTTCGATTAAAATATATAGTTTAGTGGTTTATATCAATGTCCGACATAAATTGATAGGTTACTGTTTACGTGTTGTAATTACATTGAATTTTATCATGTTTTCTAATTAAATAACCTGCAATCTCCAAAATAATTGAATTGCTCACTAGTTTATAATCTTAATTACATTGAATTTTATCATGTTTTCTAATTAAATAACCTGCAATCTCCAAAATAATTGAATTGCTCACTAGTTTATAATCTTTGTTCACATTATAATATCCGAACAACAACAAAAAGTAAAAAAAAAAAAAAACTTTTCACGATAGCAACATACCAACATCTAATAGTGGCGGGAAGCAAATTACATTCACGTTTAACTGGTCAGTTTGTAATGTATATAAAAATGATGACGGCACTTGCTTAGTTAACTTGTTAACTTGAACATTAGTTTATAACTTGTGAAGTGGTTAACGAGGGAAAAATATTATAATCGTTGTTTAGGAAAAAAAACAAAAGAACAATTCCGCATTTAGTCTCTTGAACTTATCCAACAAATAATTGATATGGAAAAATTAACATTATAATCTCCATAAGCATATTTTAACCCTACGGTTGGCTTCTAAGAACAACTCTAATTTGAACATTTCTTTTAGTGACTTTTCAATGTTGGCGTTTCACATGGTGTCTCTATCTGCAACGCAAAGAAAAAGTTTCGAATATGATTGTTAGAAGTTTTTACTATACTTTCCAAAATATCATTTATGACGACCAATACCAGACAAAAAGAAGGCTAAATATTCTGAATTTTTTGTTGTAACGTTGAGATATAAAGTTTTGTATGAGATATAAAAGCATAAATGAATTTCCACCGATACAGTACGGGAAAATAAACTGATCACCACACTCTAGTTTTACGAAACTTCGTATTTCAGAAATTTGTAGGTTGGTTTAGTGGTTTAAGTCAGTTGGTTATTATCGGCTCAATTTGAATCCCCTTCGCCATATGGGCCTTCAATATTACTAACTAAATACCTCTGGGCCTGGGCCTAGTTATATAACTGGAGTTGGTTTCTCCTGAAATAAATGATATATCCAAAAACAAAAACAAAAAAAATTGGTTTATTTTTAACTAAACCTTCCTAACTTTTTTTTTTTGGTTAGCTAAACCTTCCTAACTTTTGTATGTACAATATGAATCATGACCAGTTGCCATACTAAAGCCTTTTCTTTTCTGTATGTTTTTCTAATTATTCATAGTCTATAATACTCCACATTGGAGAGTCTGTCGAGATTTTGAACTAAAAATTGACCGATCAAGATTACGAGAATCAAGATCGTTGCTAAAGATATTACTTCTAGAATTCTAGTTGTATTTTGTTAACTTAGCCAATATGTATGTGATATAAGAACGAGTGTGGTGATTGATGGAGAAGCTGTTGCTGGACTAAGGTCACTCTCAACAGATTCGAATGGAAGGGAAGATGAAGATAGAAGTGAATAGATGGTGAAACTGTCGCTGAACTAAGGTCACTCTCAACAGATTCGATAGAGATGGAGATGGATAGTTGGATGGATCGAAGTTCGCCACACAAAGTTGCGGAATGACTTTGTGATAAGAACACAAATCAATATCTAAATGAATCGCACACAAAGATAAAGATTTCACTTGTTTTCTAAAGAAATCACACACAATAGAAAAAAACAAGTAAAACAAAATCTTAAGCTTTTAAAAGTGAGAAACTCTCTCTTTATTTTTTTCCAAAAATCTATATATTTACAATGAAAGGAAACATGAGCTTATATAGACTCAATTTACAAATCAATAACATAAGTACAAAATAAATCAAATTAATTACATGAATCAATCAAGAATAAATTTGAGAGATTTTATCAATCATCATTGATGGAGATTGGTTCTTTGTATCTAGACACTTTCTTGATATAGCCATGAATTGATTGTTTTCTAAAAACTTCTTTATAATTTGATCTTGATTTTCCTTGAACCAATCCTTGATGAGTCATGGATATTTCTAGGACTACATCAGTATGTTACTTCTATATATAAGAATATGATCTTGTAATTTTTTATTTTATTTTTTTATCAATATAAAAAACAAATTATATGGCATTCTTTTAGGTTTCTAAATCCTCCTATCAATCAATTTATCACTTCGGAATCCGACTATAACCAGTCTTCCCCGATATTAGAGACTAGAGTGTCGGGATAGAATAAAATTGAAGGGCAAGAGAATTCAAAGAAGATCAATTATGTAGCTGACTGAGACCAAAAATCAAAGGTCAAAAATTGAGAAGCTTCCTAAAGAGACAAGTGGACAAGTTTTGACCAGTTGTCCATTTGACACATGAGGACCCCATCACTATCATCACCCCTTAAAGTCGTTGCTCTCTCCCTCTTATCACTTTGGATGTTACTGCTTAGCTTAGGAAGAAAATAAATGA